CATTATGCCAGAAAATTCATTGGATCTGTCGGTAGAATGTTCTTCAACTATTGCGGCTGATGAAAATTGTCATTTCAGAAATGAATGTCCAATGAGCAAGCCATGCCAAAGAAGATACACTATTCTACTAACAAAAAAAAGAACCCAAATTTATCTAGTTACCAAAGAAACAATGAAAATTTTCTTTAATGTAGAAAAAGAAGAAGAGTAGCAAATCGTATTTGGACAACGGATGCCTACGGCACATGACTGGTGATGCTGACAAATTCATGTACCTTAACCCAAGTTGATGGTGGAACAATCATTTTCGAAGGAAAAAACAAAAGAAGAATCGTTGGAAAAGGCAACATCAAGTTGGGAAACTTGATCGTTGAAGTTATTGGATTGGTCAAAGGACTAAGTCACAAACTAATCAACATCAACCACTTTGTAACAAAGGTAACGAAATTAGCTTCAAAGATGGTGAATGTATCGGCGTATGTAAAGACTAATCCCAGTCATTCACAGGCAAGAGACATGGCAATACTCATTTGCTTGACATTGGTTCTGACGCTGCTTGCTACATAATCTCCATCAAAGTAAAACAAGAGCTTTGGCACAGGAAGCTAGGTCACATAAGCTTGGAACAGATCTCGAAATTAGCAGCCAATGACCTGGTGCGTGGTCTTATTAATATCAAGTATAAGAAGACTGAGCTATGTAATGCTTGTTGCTTAGGTAAGCAAGTAAAGAGTATCTTCAAATCCATAAATATGGTTGCCACCAACAGAGCATTGCAGCTATTTCACATGGATTTGTTTGGACCAATAAGAAGTACAAGCCTTGGTGGTAAGAGAAACTATCTGGTGATTGTGGATGATTACTTAAGACTCACTTAAGTGATGTTCTTAGCCCATAAGGACGAAGCCTTCCAATCTTTTGTGAAATAAGTCAAAAATGGAAACGGATACAACATTACATCCAGACACACATATTACCGTCGAGAGTTTCAGAATCAAAGCATCTCAAATTAGTATGAAGAAAATGGTTTCGAGCATTACATCTCCTCAACCTACACTCCCCAACAAAATGGCATTGTGCAAAAGAAGAAACGGTCCCTTCAAGAGATGGAAAAAACAATGACGATCGAAAGCAGCACTCCTACTTACTTCTAAGCTAAAGCAGTTGACACTGCTTCTTATATTATAAACAAGATAATTATTAGATTGTTGGAGAAAACACCATATGAACTATTCAAAGGTAGAAAACCAAGCATATCATGCTTTCATATCTTCAATTACAAATGTTAGATTCTCAAAAATATAAACGACAACATTGGTAAGTTTGAACCACAATCGAATGAAGGTATATTTATTAGATACTCTATTACCAGCACAGCATAGTACGTTTTTAACAAAGTATCGCAGAAAGTGGAAGAATCCATCAATATCAAGTTTGAAGATATAATGTGATGGGCGTTCGAGCAAATAGTGAAGAAGATGAAGAGAAAATTTCTGGATCAATTTTCTCCTTTCCCTTTGCGACGCGGCGTAAACGAGAGAAAAATTGTTGATGAGCGAATTAGAAATATATCTAGCGACATGTTTACAGATAAATATGTCGTATTAAGTATTTATATCAATGTGCTTTGTAAGTTAGGCAATGAAAATAGCGGCTAATTATTATTTGAATTATTACATTTTGGGTAGATCTGTCAAAATTGATTTTAAACCCATATGACCCATATATATTTCAATATTAAAAAGCCCAGCTTAAGTGGGTTTTAAACTTTAAAGCTTAAGATAAATGGATTGAGTTTAGAACCCATTTCCAACCCACTAGGCCCACACACACTCTCTCCCTCTTTATAAAAATATTTTTTTAAAAAAATCAAAATCATAATTCTTTTTTTGTTTTTTCTTCTCTTCACTTTTCTTTCTCTTTCTTTTTCCTTTATTTTCAACCGATGGCCGACCACAGTGATAGCCGGCAACTGACCATAGGTGAGGGATGACCTCACCGAAGGCCGGCAATGCTCGAGCCCGCCGACCTTAGACGAGGCTCGACCGATCGGCGAGGCTCCAGCCTCGCCCATGTAGCGAAACTCGAGCTCGTTGGCCTCGGGCAAGCTCAACCTCATCGAAGCGGGTGAGGCTCGACTCGCTAGAATCGAGCGAGCTCGTCCCTTACTTGTGGCCGGTCGCCAACCGTCGCTGTGGCCAGCCACCAGCCAAAAATAAAGGAAAAAGAAATAAAATAAAATAATAAAAACTATTAAAATGAGTGCTCGAAGTAAAATTAAATCAGATTTTATATACCAAACGCTGGAAAATATTTTCTAGTTCATTTTCAGGTTTAAACCAAACACTAAAAAATTGTGTCAATTTCTTGGAGAAAATGACATCATGGAAAACATTTTCTAAAAATGTCACATTTTCCTCGAAACAAATGGAGCCTAAATTTTCAAAAAAAAATTATAAAAATTGTCCACCAGATTTGTATCGCATGGAAATATTTTAACAATATAATTTTTTTTTAAATCGTAAGAAATAAGTTTTCTTGATTGCGTTAAATATAGAAGTGTTTTAGCAATATGGGTCAAGTCAGGTCGAGTATGGGTCGAGATATTTTTACATTATAAATAAATGGGATATACCGGAAGACTGCCAACCTGAGGCGAATATCGGGGGTTGTGCCGTAGCCCCTGGTGTGGCTGTAGTAATTGGAATACGCGTAAAAGATTGTGGTGGCATTGCGCTTGATTATAGGATGAAATTGCTACGCACAGTATGGGACGGGCCAAAGCGATTTCACCTTATAATCAGGACACGTGTGAATGCATTGTGATTGAGAAAGTTGATACGTATGCTGATTGTATTATATGCTTATTGCATTATTATGGCATACGGTGAATTATAACGTATAGAACGTGCGCATGTGCCCAGGGCAAGGTAAGGTTGCTTGTGATTGTGTGGAGAAATGTCGTGAGTATTATGTTGAGATACCTGCCTTCGTTATATCATCGCATGTGTTAGGTACATCTGAGAGGAGTTGATCTCCTAGTCGAGGCTTAGGTTGTGAACTCGCTGAGATTTTATCTCATTTGTTATTATAAACTGTTTTTCAGACCCCCCGACCGTGAGCCTCCCTCCTGAACGTTTCGGCATGCCTATGGAGATAGACATGGGTTATTCTGCGTACCCTATAGGTCCTGGCAGAGAATATCAAAAGCATGAGTCCATTGTCTGGGTGGATGAGGGAGTACTTGGGTTGACGGCCCATCGTTTTGTGGCGTGATTTAGCAAAGAAGGGAACGAGTTGATTGGTCCACTTCGTGGTTTTAATGGACCCCCGGTTGGCGGTATCGGGGAGGTGGTCTGGGATCCGATGGACCTCGATCCGCCGGATGGGGAAGTGACGGACCCAGACTCCGTAGATAGTGAGGCGGAGCTTCCTCCCGGTTTTGGCGATCTGTTGTGATAGGTTAGGATACCCCATCTTTTTGGAACCACCCCCTTTTTGTAGCGAAGTTAAGTTAACTCGATTGCTGATTCCTTTTTGTTGTATGTGGTTTGATAGGAAGTAGCATTATGATAGGCTTGTATATTTGCCCCTTCCTTGGGTTAACGTTATGTTTATAAAGTAGCTTCACTGTTTTCTGAATCCATGTGTTTTCCTTACTATCCCGTTTATTTATTGTTGTTGGGTGAATTAAGTTCGCTTCCGCATGCGTTTAATGGATAATGATTCGATTGGGTCGGCGATGTGTCCTAGGACGTCGCATTTATAACGACCGTGGTGGGATATTAGCGCGCTCGAGGGTTGGGGCGTGACAAATATGGTTCAAGTCAGGTCGGGTATGAGTCGAGATATTTTTACATTACAAATAAATGGGTCATAAAAAGGTTAATGGGTCACTTTGGGTCGGACCATTTATGACTCGACCCAAATCCGACCCGACTCACCCATTTGACAGGTCTAATCATAGGTTATGCTTGGTTGTCTACTTATTAAGTTGAGGAGTCAACCGCACGGGAAGATTTTATCTTTAAACCAATCTATTAACTCCGCCAAGGATAGTCAATGACCTTTAATTTACAGAATTCTTGTTGGCATCTTAGATAATAATCAGTTTACTTTCGTTGTAATTCATTTATGTTTTTTTAAAAGTTTGATCTTCCGTTAACGTTAATGCTTAGAAGAAATATTTTGATGGATCCGACTAATCTCTATGAGTGAAGAATTTGCTTATCTACTAGATGTTTTGCTAAGCTTTCTCCAATACACTTTCTTTTCCTATTTTAAAAGATTTATTGCTTTAATAAGAAATTGCCACGTGTTTCCATGAATAAGAAAATCTTTAAGAGAAATTTTAATGTAATCAATCTGTTTATTTTCGCCAAAAATCGCTGATGTTGCGGTGTTTGAGAGAAGGGGTAACAATAAAATGGGAAGATACCATTAAATTTTCCAGCTCATCCATAAATATTTTAAATTTTTCTACATGTTGTGTCTAAACTTTCAATCTCCCATTTCTTTAACTTTCTCAAACATAGCAAAGAGAAGTGGAAACTGAATGCCATATTTTGGTTGTAAAAATATTTATTTGGTTTTGTGATTTATTGCAAAATGCTTGTCTCAAATGTTATTTTGCAAAATGGTATCGACACTCATTTAAAGTTTAAATTTACATGAAATGTAAGTCCGACCTAACAACAGGTCGTATGCGCTATTTGGTTCTTTGTTTGGCCCAACGATTCTTTTATAAGTTTAAAACTTGTCTCTTAGCATTTAACTCTAATCCTTCAAATTTGAACGAAATTTAGCTTTCTTTCACTCTCTAACGTTCAGCAATAGTCTGGCAGAGTGCTCGAATACGGGCGTAATAACTTGCCAAGAGATTTCAACTTGACTCGTATGCATCCGGGTCATGCCATAATTTTCCAATCCATTAAAACTATCATTCAACATCATCGTCATCATCATGTCTATCTTTTCGCAATTACACTATATCTGTCTACTCATTCATTCTTTGTTCCCAGCAAAAACGCCTTAGATTCATCGTTGTTGCCTGGCTTCGGTGGCTTCTTTGGCAATGGTGGTTTCCGCATGCTAGCTGTGAACTCATCTGCCATTTCCTTCCTTATCCGCGTCACTGTCCGGAACAGCTCGTTCACCTCCTCACTCAGCCGGCGCAACCCCTCTGACATTACCTTGGTCGCCGTCTCCAGTTCAATTGCCTTAATCCTCAGCCTCCCCACGATTTCTTCGCTGCCTCCGGATGCCGACACCTCGTCCATCACCTCAAGCACGTGCCTCGCTTGTGCCTCCATATCTTCGAGCTCCTTCAAGAGCCGCGTCTTCCTGGCTCTTGCCTCGCCGCATCCCGACGACTCGATGATAACTGCCGACTCGATTGCCCGAACAGAGTCGACCCAGGGGAACTCCTTCGGGATGCGGATGGAAACGACGACCCCTGAGGTAATGCGCAAGGCCGAAGATATGACTCCAGCAACGAACGCCGTCACAAAGCTGACCGCTTGGATAGCACGGCGAACAACTCTCTCGATCGGGGAGACCTTCCACCACGGTGTTGACATTCCGATGCTCGCGGCCAAGTCTCTGATCAGCTCCTCAATGTTGCCCGCAGACTTCACATACCCGCTGCCACCCTTGCCCTCTGAATCTGCAAGCAAATCCCTCGCTTGGTGAATCTCCTCCTCCGATGGGTTACCGTCCAAACCAAGGAGCTCAATCGCGATCCTCAGGTTCAGGGGGCGGAGGTACAGTCGCTCGATCTCTGAGGAGATGCAGTTGCAGACATCCAGGACCTTCAGGCTGTTGTCCAAATACCATGACGAGAGGCTATCACCACCACCGTTCACTTTCAGCTCGTGGATCAAGGATTTCACGGAGCAGTGAGCGAAGGTGAGCACGCCAACGGCGGAGGAGAGCCAGGGCAAGCTGACAGAGGCAGGGCTTAGGCCCCGAAGGCGAGAGAGGAGCGACTCGTCGAAGGAATTGGAGATGGAATCTAGCTCCTTGGCAGCGTGCTTCGCTCCCTTCTTGTCACCGGGTAAGAGGAGTCGCGAATACATTTTCTCAACAAATATGGAAAATGGAAGAAATTTGTTCTCCTTTTCCGGGAAAACTGAGACGACGAGAAAGTGTCGGAAAGTTTTGATGAGTACGGGCTCTGTGAGCACTAGCAGTATTTATAAAGGGCGTGTTTTGTCCTAGGAATGCAAGAAAATGTGATTATGAAAAAAAATCCAAAAGTTATTGGAATGTAATTTAAAGACACGGCCAAATAAGGAGTCTCTCTTCGTGCTTTTCTGGCCTCCTCATATTCTACATACGCGGTTTAAGACAAACTTGCCTTTTATCTCTCCATGCTTTTCTGGCCTCCTCTTATTCTACATACGCGGTTTAAGACCAACTTGCCTTTTATTTCGTTCTAAACTTTCCCTTCATTGCAGCGGTGCGTCACTGTGGATAATAACAAGTATCGGTGATTGAAATGATCCGAACAAGTTACATTTTGACGAATGTAGTAATTGAATGTGGCGCTAAAAACACATTTTCTTTGTATATTTTTGGAACAATTATTTCCACTCGCTTTGCATGGTGGCTTGGCGGCGTAAGCGAGAGAACGTTTTTTTACGACTATCGCGACCTCCCCGAGAAAATAGGTGTCAACAATGACCGAATTAGGAAAAGAGATAATAGTGACATGCCTACTAAGTGGCGTGGCGGCGCATATCGATTTGTTTAGTATCTATATTGACGTGCCTACCAAGTTTAAGTGATGAAAATAGCACTTATTATTTGGATTGTTACATCTTGCTTGATATGCTTGGTTGGCAACTTATTAAGTTGCGAGTAACCGCATGGGAAGATTTCCATCTGTAAACTAATCTATTAATTTGGCTTAGACTAGTTAACTACCCCTAAATTACGGAATTCTAGTCAGCATCTTAGTTGACAGCCGATGTACATTTGTTATAGTTCATTAATCACTTTTTTGAAGTTTTTCTACCGTCAACCTTAATGTTTACAACAAAGATTTTGATGAATTTAACTAAGCGCTATAAGTGAGATATAGATAAAGATGAGTTTGTGCTTATTTACTATTTTCATGGATATTTTTACTTTATAGTGAGGCATTTTGGTTATATTAGGTAATAAATCACAATGGCCAATTACCATTTGGGAGGTAATTAAAAGCTGGGTCAAGTAGGAAGATTTCTCCATAATTAGAAGCTGGCTCAAGTAGGAAGGTTTCTCCATATACTCTTTCTGGCCCTTTTGTAGTTGTTGTAAGTAAGCTTTCCGTCAATACGCTTTCCTTTTTTTTTTTAATATGATATTTTTGCTTTAGTAAGAAATATCCAGGCGACGCTACAAATGAGATAAAATTTCCGTCAACTAAAAAATGTTGGTAAGATTAAGTTCTTGTATCTAGAATATATACCGATCTATTTAATAAACTTACCATTTGTGTCCTTATATCATGCTTGGTTGTTTCTTAAAATTTGTCTGAGTTGGCAAATGGAAAAGACTGTTTTCCAAACTAATCTATTCACTATTATAAGGTTAGCTAATGACATTTAAATTATGAAATTCTTAGTAGCATCTTAGTTGGCATTTTGATCTGCGGATTCATTATGGCGAAATATTCTCATATCAACAAAGCCTTAATTTTTAATTTCTTGTTGCGATTTAGCTGAATGGATAACTTATAACCCAATATAATCTTCATTCACCATGATTATTGATTTTACTGTGGCAAAACGCGCTCTCGTCTTCACATTTTTCCGGTTAATAACTATGTTATTCATATTTTTTTAAGAGGATACTTATGCTAACTCAAAATTCTCCGATTATTTTGATATCCCAGTTTTTAATGATTAAATTAAATATATAATTGGCCCATATTTTTAAGAGGAAACCCATGCTAACTCTAATTCCGCCCAACAATGTTTCTTGAGCGGATGCCCGATCAAGAGACGCATACGAATACTTTGGAGATGTAGTCACATTTGATACCGCTTATTTGACAAATAAATATGGCATGCCTATTGCTCCATTTGTTGGTGTCAATTATCATGGTTAGTTAGCTTTTGTTTTTTGTTCTTGGTATGTCCCACTCTAACTTTCAACTCACTCTCAGACTTTTATCATGCCTCCTCGCAGGGCGTGGAAGTCGAAACTCACGTCTGAAACTACACGTCCCCACCCCTAGCTCCCCTTAAGACTTTTGGTATAAGTGTAGTACTTGATTGAACCAATCGAAAGGTTTAGGACTCAATTGCATTCCATACATAAGTTTTAGGATTTGTAGTGCAATTTTCTCTAACAACTACATATTTTTGCTCAAGCTCAAATCACAAGCATCACCCTCACATTGTTGTGTTTATTCGCTTTGTTGGTCTTGCCTAGTTTTTTTTTTTTAGAAAGAAAATTGTATATATTGCTCAAAATGATAAATAAGAAGTACATAAACTTCATGGCAAAGCAAATCGAAATAGAGCAAAGTCCAAAATACTGCAAAACAAAGCCAAATTCAAAAACTAGGAGGATTAACGAAGCACTAGCAAGGTTGAGTACACAATCATTCCACCAGGACGGATTGTTAAGCAAAATAATCGGCAATTGATCATTAGATCGCGTATCTTTGTTAGTGATGAGTACACGTTGGAAATTCCTTCTCTAATATCTATGGCGTTGCCAATTAGCGGTGCATGCCTATAATCGGCTTCTTCTACGCCATCACCGTATACGGAGACAACCAAAACAAGTTGAACAAATACAAATCTAACATTTGGAAGAGCAAATCGTCATGGTTTAGTGAGACACCAAAGCTTCTGCGATCACCATTAAAACTTGAGGTTTAAGACCTGTAGACGGACAGAGCACAGGGGTATCAAATCTCTAGAAGTTTATTCATTAAACTCCTGGATCTAAATTGGGAGGGGATGGTTTACATATCTAGACTAAATCGGGAGAGATTAAACTCTCAGATGTAGAACTAGACTGAGAGAAAAGAGCTCCTAAATCTAAATCTAAATCTGGAGAAAAGAAATATAAAACACAAACAAAATCAACAAGAGAGGGAGGGCACCCTCCCCTTATGGCTGCAGGTTGAAGAAGACGATGGAGGGAGAAGAGATAGAGGGAGAGAAAGAGACTTTACAGCTTTGGACCGTGGGTTGAGGACGAAATTGAATATGTATTCTTGCTGGCTTCGATGGCTTCTTTGTTAATGACCTTTTTCGTGCCCTTGCTCAAAACTCACCCGTTATCTTTTTCCTCATCCTAATCACTGTTACAAACAACCTGTTCGCCCCTCCCCAAATCGGTCCACCCCCACGATATCCCCTCGGTCGCCTTCTCCAACCCAATTGCCGCCTCCCTCAGCCTCCCAACCTTCTCTCCGTCGCCTATCAATGTTGCCATCTCGTCGATGGCTTCAACCACGCCACTCACGCGCGCCTCCATGTCATCAAGCTCCTTCAAGACTTGCATCTTCCGGTCTCTTTCCTCACCGCCCTAGGGTGTCTACACCCAATTGAGTTAGTGGTTATCGTAGAGTCAGGATGCGGCAAGGAAAGAGACAGGAAGACACAAAGTCTTGAAGGAGCTCGACGACATGGAGGCGTACGGAGGCACGTTCTTGAGGCAATCGATGAGATGGCGACTTTGGGAGGTGGCAGAGAGAGGGTGGGGAGGTTCAGGGAGGCAGTGATTGGGCTGGAGAAGGAGACCGTGGCGATGTCGGAGGGAGCGGACCGATTGAGGGAGGGGGTGAATGGGTTATTACAGACAGTACTTGGGATAAGAAAAAGAGGGCGAGCAAGTTCAAGCAAGGGCACGGAAAAAGCCACCGCAGACTCGATCGCGTGGAGATGGTCACCCCAAGAAAACTCATCGAGATGTGGACACAGACGCTTCCCCTGGCGAAGTGCGGAAGGGTGAAGATATGACTCCGGTGACGGGCGGGTCATATACGGCGTGTGTTTTCTCCTAGGAGTGCAAGAAAAATGTGATTATGGAAGAAAATCCAAAGCGTTATTAGTTGATGCAAGACTTCTTGGAAAGTAATTATGAGACGTGGTCAAATAAAGTGTTCCGTTTCATGCTTTACTGACCTCCTCATATCTAGAACGCGGTTTAAGATATAGTTGTCATTTATTTTTCAACTAAACTTTCCTTTATTTATTTATTTTTTTGTCATTAAACTTTTCTTTTATTTGGCTTGTAGTAGCAAAACCAACGGCAGTGCACGCAACTGATATTATTATCGATAGTATTATCTAGTATGGGTAACATATTATTGCAAGATCCAGATGCATGTGAATCTAATGAACATGCCATGTTATTATGTGAATCCCGTCTCATCCACTAATTCATGTAAACCTGCATATATGAGTCATCATCATCATCGTTCATCATCTCTATTCCCTACGATTGTTTCTGCAATGACTCAATCTCCTTTCATTTTGCTTTATTTCGGTACATAACAACTACTACACCCTTTTGCTTGCATTCAATCTCAGGTATCACCTCCACTTTGTTGTGTTCTACGGCAAAGAAAATCTTTGATGGTATCTTCGGCATGGCCGTTTCAGTGCGCTCCCTCTCTATCATATTTCTTATGGTTTATGTTTTAGCCATACCAACGCCACATAAGAGAGAGAAAATAATTTAAAAACCAAGTCAACATTTTTCGTTACCTAAGTTGGAGGGAATTAACAGAAGGATTTGATTGCATCAATTTGACAAGTTTTAAAATTTAATTGCACTTTTTGAATGTTTTAAGACTCAATTGCATTTTCGTGATAAATTTTAAAACTTTCGGTGCGCTTATGCCTTAAATTTATAGAAGAAGATCCACGTATATTGCAAAACCTAGGAATGAAAATAGTTCCTAATGTTTAATTACCACTTGGGTTCTTAGAACAAGACACGTCAGCGCCACGTCAACATTTTTTTGGTTATTTACATAATTGCCCTTCTAGAAACCTTTTTGCTAGATGCATTCCTAGCCCTTAGATCAATACTTTGGCACCAAAGACACATCCTAGCCCTCCATTTTGAGAGATATGTTCAGCCCTCTCTCTCTCTCTCCTCACTTCTCCCTTGCTCTTTCTCTCTCTTCATTTTCTTTCTCTCTCCCTCCCCCTTGGCCGAGACTCACTCACCATTGCCGTCCACCACCCTTGCACATCACGCCACCACCTTGGACCGCCATGGACCACTGTGAGCCGTCCCCAAGCCGCCGTTCACACCCGGAGTAGCCGCCGTTCGCCGGATCGCCATTTGGGCCAACGCCGTTCACCGGAGCTCTTGGCTTGGCCGGGACTGGTGCTGCTGGTTTTGGCTTGGTTCTTAGCTTAAATTAGTGGTAAGTAACTCCCTAAACCTTGATTAGGTTAGTAGGTTATCAATGAATAGTATTTATGGGTTGTTAGGGTAATTTATGGGTTATGGTAGATGCAGAATTAAGGATTTGTTGGTGGCTGGATTTGATGATTATATGGATGATGTGAATGATAAGATAGGTAGATTATGTGACTTGAGCTTGAGCATATGTTTAATGTTGCTAATTATGCTTAATTTGACTAATTATGATTGTTTATTGGTTGTTTTAATTAAATTCGTGGATTGGTCTTGTGGCTACAATAATCATGTGGTAGTGGCTGAATTGGATGATTTGGATATTGATCATATGGCCCCCATTGATTCTAGATTGGTTAAGGTTACTTTTAGGGCTTAATTATCATGATTATGTGCTAATTTTGATCATACGGTTTAGAATAAATTAGGATGTGAGAAAAGTTAATCATATGGCTTATTAGAGATTTGAAGTTGATCGTGTGGCTTTGATTGACAATCGCATGGCTAATTAGTCGATTATATACCGATTAAAGATTTAATGACGATCGTGTGGTGGATTAGTTGTTTAATGCTGATCGCATGATTAAATGGTTTAATCGTATGGTTAATTTATTTAATCATGGCTGAGTAGTTGACTGTGGCTTGATCGTGTGGTTGGAATGATGATGATTTCGTGGCCTAGAGCGAAGATCGTGTGGTTGAAATTGATGTTTCATGGTTGATCTTGCACTTGATGAATAATCGTAGGATTTTAAAAGTGGATCGTGTGGTTAATTATGGCTATTGTGGCTTAGCATGGCATATCGTGATCATATATTGATGTTTGATACGAAAACGAGTACGATTCATGGCATATTTATTTGTAGTAAATTGCACGTCATAAACACTTGCATTAGCTAATTAAGGAAGATTAAAATTGGCAATGCGTGGTTATTTACGTGTATGGCCATCATGAGTTCCGTCTAAGACAAGCACTAGACGGTGCCCGGCGGAAGTTCGGATGCTGTTTGGTACCCGACTTGTCGCGGGGGGGGGGGGGGGTGTTCGATCCTAGACATTGGCGATCGTGGTGGAGACCGGATCGATGCTCCTAAATGGAATGCCGTCCGGTACTCGACTTGTCGCGGGGGGGGGTTCGATCCTGGACATTGCCGCGCCCAAAGTAGTGGGGTGATGCCTGGCTATGCTAGAAGACCGGCGGGAGTTCGGTGTGACCTATGGTGGGTCGTTAATAATCTGGACAACTTCGAGTGTTATGTGTATATGGCATACTTTGCGCTTGATTATGGGATAAAATCGTGAAGCATGGTATGGGACGGGCCGAAGTGATTTCATCTTATAATCAAGACTTGTGTGAATGATTGAGTATGTCTGGATTATTATTATTACTATTATGCATATTGATAGTATGCCGTGGTTATGATGCAATTCGAGACTTTGCATAGTATGTAGTGTTGAGGAAAACTCCTATTGATTTTGAAGTTGACAAAACCTTCCATGTTATTGTAAATCTGATACTTATTCTGAACTATCTTATTCCAGGTATGTATGTATATTCTGGACGCTCAGAATGAAGTTTTTCTGACTTTACAAGCTGAAAAAATAATAAGTTCTTTGAAGACCCACATCACCTTGGTATTGATGACGCAGAATTTCACTAGCTAATCATCAATACCAATACCAATACCACAACTACATGCAAAGATCCATGTAATTCTTTAAGGAGATATATCCCTGCCTAAGGTCCATCTTAGAGGGGACCACCAGTACCACAACTACATGCAAAGATCCATAATAATCGATATTGATGCAGGACAGAGGTATATATGGCCATTAACTTCACAAGAAGGTGGTACTTGCTAGTTATGCATAAATACGTTCTGTGATGGCTCAGCAAATCATCAAGTTTAAACAGGAAGTGGTACCACGAATATGCATTAGAGCCAAGACAAGTTACCTATTCAAGGCAGATCGCTTTCTTCGCACAATGAAATATGCGAGCAGCATCAGGCATCCCAGCAAGATCTTCCCATTAGATAGGACTAACCGAAAATTGCCAAATCTCACATTGATTGACCGAAATAACCAGAAACAAGGCTTGCCTTGTGCATACAACTTCAGAATTGCTAATTTCCGATCATCTTCTCTGTTTGGCATGCTTTTCTGTTCTATGGATCTAATATATTCTTCTGATGCATTCGCTTCTCCTATTAAAGGAACTTCATGCTCATTTAGCATACATGACAGGGGACCTTGTGATAAGCTAGTGGCCTTGATAGCATATAGCGAATGCAACCTTCTGAGCAAGTCCTACAAATTGCAAGTTGAAATGACAAATTGTTAACATATTATGCATCAAGGACAGTACCATATGGTTATTAAACCAAAATTGATTTCAATCAAGTTTGTGCAAAAGTGAAGCATCATTCTTTGATTGAAAGCCATCACAGAAATGATTTTAGTAGCCAAACAATGCAATACTTTACACATTGAACTGATAAACGAGCCAAGTCGGCTGATGCTCTATAGTTTTATGGCAAAGATGCTAAACAATTTGTAAGCATCAGTGATATTAGAATCACCTTACAATCAATTATTCAGATACTATAACATCAAATGGGAAGGAGATGATTAATGAAATCTATATCACTGCTAAAATGAAAATTAACAGTAAAATTAGGAGCCTACTTTCTGGATCAGCCTAACTAGAGAATGCATCTTAAAAACCCCGGTACACATGATAAATTCCTTGCATGTGTATTGAGGATAAGATGCCCATGCCCTAAGCTCAACCCCGCAGAGACTAGCTACCACCTTTCACATCAGAAACCGGCCTACAACCTAGAACCCGGAACATCTTAAGTAAAAAAACTTTGAAGCATACGCTGCAGAGTTTCCTTTCTTCTTTTTATTTGAATCAATAACTGGCATGCAGTATCCAAATATACCTAAACATTTGCTCCAACATCACACGTATAAACACCATTTTATCAGTACAAAATCCTATATATCAATAAATGGATAATAAGAAACACACTAGAAGGTCCACCGGGCTGTAAGTGTAACATCCTGAATTTTGACCTGTTATCGGGATCAATAAAGTGTATATTAATTCTCGTTTGATTTTAGTAAGTCTCGCCCGGACTTGATCAATCACGGGATACTAACCAAATGGGAAAGGCTAAATAGGATCAGGTACGTGGACCAAGGACCCGATCGCGATTGAGTGCCGAGTTCGAGAAGCATCGAGGGAATATTTTGGACCAATATGGGCCGATCTTAGGAAAATGACGGATTGATATAGTCGATACGTACGATCGGATCGCGGGTGATTCCGCACGACCGAAAGTACGCGACTAACGAACCCCGATTTTAATCCAAACGATCGCGACCCCGGTACTAGTGATAATTCCTCTCGTTCTCTCGAAATTTGAGACCATCATGACTGACAATCCTAGGTCGATACGCGTACCACCTAAACGCCGACCGTTAGTGAGAGGCCCTAAGACTTCGAAACGAGTTATTTTGATCGCAATATTGAGCCCAAACTTCGATATCAAAATTTCAAGGGTAATTACGACTATTTGGTAAGACGGACGTCATTTTATAGTGGCCAAATAAGTTTGGGACAAGAACAGCTGAATATAGAAATTTCACGAAATTGGGGAAAATTACAATTTTGCCCCTGGGGACCTCGATGCTCGTTTCGAGGCCAAACGAAATTATTTTTCGGAATCGATGCCATTTTGGGGCAACCATGCACGTCTGGAGTGCATACGGTCAAAATTGGAATTTCGACCCGGAACGAAAAATTACGGTTTTACCCCTCGAGACTTTTGGACCGGTTTTGAGGGCTTAAAGGATGAATTTTAAGGATCCGACACCGGATTATGTCTACCATGAATATATAGGACCGGTATGGACAAAAATTGAAATTTCGGTTCGGGATCGAAAAAAATTACGAAAATGCCCCTAGGCCAATTTTAATTAATTCCGAAAATTGAATTTAATTAGGGGTTTAACCAAGGTTAAATGGGACTAACCAGGTCTGGTCAGCCTTGGGTTAGTGACAAATGACCATTTTACCCCTAAATTATTGGATGAGAAGGAAAGATAGCCATTGGATCAAGGGCAAAATTGTCCAATTGGCCTAGATTGAGACACATGGAATCCACTCACACTTGTTGACCCATATTTGACCAGACATTTCTCTCTCTCTCTCTCCCATTCTGTTCTCGATCTGCCGAGCCATTCTCCTCCTCCCCTTCCCGTGAATTTCTTTTCCCGTTTACATTTTCGGCGTGCACGGTTCTGTCCATTCTGGTACTGTTCACGCCGGAACAGTACCAGCCGGAGCTGTCCCCGCCAAGCCAGCACCACCAGCAGCCCTTTCTGCTCAAGACAAGCCACCACAGCCCCGGTTTCAGCCTAAACAGAACAGAAACAGCAGCTAATTGTCTTCGCCGGTGTCGCTGCGGACCGCCGGCTTGCACCGGAGCGCCGCCGTCGATCCTTACCGTTCGTCGGTGATCGACCGCCCGTTCCCGTCGTCCCGAATCGTTAATAGGCGAGTATAAACCCCTAAACCCCTAATTAGTCTAATTGTGCATTTTTAGGGGTTAATTAGGCCTAATTGAGGGTTAATTAGGCTTAATGGTGTGTGGGATGTTTTGTATGGGTCATTAGGACCTAATGAGATGATTTAATGGTGGTTTAATGGCCTAAATTGTGATCTGGTCTGGTACTGTTCATGAGTACCGAAAATGCTAAATTTTGTTCAAGTTTTGTACTAATTGAGTTCAATGGTTAATGACTTAAAATTAGGCATTTGGTAGACTAATTAAGCTTATTTGAGGCTTAATTATGTGTATTTGGTGGTTGGATGTTTAGGGTAGGTGATTAGGGCTTAATGAGATGGTTTAAAGGTGAATTAGTGCCTAAATGTGCATTTTTCCTGGTACTGTTCATGGGGCTCCGAAATTGTTTTAATTTGTCTAAGTTTGTACTAATTGGGTTCAATTGTTGGTGACCTTGAATTGGTCATTATAGGGCTTAATTAAGCTTAATTGAGGCTTGATTATGTGTATTTGATGTTTGGGTGATTATAGTATTTGATTGAGGCCTAATGGAATTGTTTAGGGGTAGTTTGGTGCAAAATGGACATTCGGTTCTGGTACTGTTCACCAGAACCGAATTGTACCATTGGGCTTAATTGGAGACTTAATTGGTTCTTTGGCTATTGACTTGAGTTTAGGCATTTTTAGGGGTTGAGTAGGACTTGTATGAATCCTATCGTATGACCCCGAAGTGGTGAAAACGAATATTGAGATTGAATTGCCCAAGGCGGGCCTTAGGCGCATTAGATTGAGGTGTGAAATGAATGCGCGGAATGAACTTGAAATGGATTGGATTAGAGTGGAAATGCTTGGGTATGCCAAGAATGAGATGAACATGTCTAATTTGAGCATGGTTATGCTTGGTGTTTTGGCATCGATATTTAACCTTAAATTCCCGAGCATATGTTTTGCATATCAAGTGGTGATTGGTTGAAATTGAGTGAAACGATGTACTTGCCTAAGTTATAATCAATTGTGGCCTTCGGGTCGGGCCTACGGGTCGTTTATCAAGCTGTGGCCTTCGGTCGGGCCTACGGGTCGATTATCAATTGTGGCCTTCGAGTCGGGCCTACGGGTCGATTTATCAAGCTGTTGGCCTTCGGGTCGGGCCTACGGGTCGTTTATCAAGCTGTGGCCTTCGGGTCGGGCCTACGGGTCGTTATATCCAAGCTGTGGGCCTTCGGGTCGGTATAATTGCACTTGACTTATAGTGATGCCAAATGCCTAACTGCAGGGCTATGAGACATTATATTGGGCTGTGAGCTCGGGTGAATTAATGTTGTATTCTGGTTCATATTTTGATGCGTTTTATTTACCTTACGGAGGTGCACATTAGCCTAGTTTAGGATTAGTGGTTTGTACTTGCTGAGTTTTCTCACGGTTGTGGTAAAACCGACATTTTCGACCCCGTCCATAGAATGCCGAGGAGCGGGACCCGAGCCCGAGATAGAGTTTGAGGCTATGAGTTCGGAGGAGGAACCGGAGCAGATCCGAGAAATTTTCCGAGACGTCCGGGTCGACCCCAACCGGATATCCTAGGGCGGACCTCGGTTTTAGGGGCGAGGGCCGATACTTTTGTTGTAGCCTCTAGTGGTTAATCGATCCCCCTAGGCCACCGATCCCTTTTTGTACTCGTAGCCCTTTGTTGTAGCTCTGGTTTTAATGGATATTGTATATATAAGTGTTATAATGAATGTATATGTTGTTTTTAATCGTTTGAATTTTGTTGGCTTGTGCTACTCATGGTTGCTTTTAAATTGTCTCAGGTGTATATATATAATATATATACGTCGTTTCCGCATGTGGCGTGTTTTCTCCGATTTGGGTTTTCGGGTCGGTGACGTAACCTGGGAGCTTCGCACCTTATTTCGACCTATACGCGGATGTTCATGCTTCGTGGGGTACGGGGCGTGACAGTAAGTACCTAGATCAGGTCCTTTCAGGACCTAGGTTTGCCCAAGCATGAACTGTGTCCGAGTAGTTGAGCAGACCCACAGGGTCAGGTCCAAAATTAAGTCTACCCTATGCTTTTGCATCGTCAATATATATGATTTTTGCGAACAACTTAAGATGTAACAATGGTGATAAATTTTTAAGATTTTGCGCGACTGTTTGTGTGTGTATTGTGTTGTGTGCGGGTGCGGGTGCGGGTGCGGGTGTGTGTATGTGCATGCGCATGCGAAGAAGAGAGAGAGAGAGAGAGAGAGGGTGGTATGGGATCCATATCAGACAAGACAAGCCCAGTTAAATGTCATTATTCCATGATACTTGATATATCTTAGTGTCCTAAGACAGATTGAGATTAAAGCCAGAAGGCTACCAATCTTAGTCAAGGCAAAACTGATACAGGAGAAAACTAGACCCTCTCAAAGAATATTGTTCCCCTGATGCACTGTATTCTTAGTCCCTTTTGGCATATTACAGGAAAAAAGTGGACCTTATTCCACTTTAACATCCATATTAATGTCAAGCACATTACTGTCCCATCATCATAACAACAAGAACTAATGAAAAATGGCCCAAACTGAACCTGCAATGCGGTAGTCATGACCATGTGAGGAGCTGGGTGAGAATAGTAAGCGAGGAAAAAAAACCTGAAATATTTCTATTAACATGCACCTTTTCCATTAATTTGGACGATATCTAAAACTGTATCTCAAAACAATCTATAAAGCAATCAATTCCACCTATTTCACTATTCCTCGCTAGCGATTTCAGCAATCAAATAAGTTAAGAAAACATGGGAAGCAAATTGCATACTCCAGGCTCACTGATCATCAAATTGCAAGCATGTTGAACAATTATCAATGATAACATAATTCAATAAATGAATGGTCCTCAAAGAATATGATCGCAAAATCTCTCTTACCTGCCTCTTATCCTTGGGCAATGCAGCTTTCTCAACCCAACTTATGGCCAGTTCAAATTCACCCAAAATTCTAGCCAGTAAAGTCAGAGCATAAATGTCAACAACTTCCAAATACTTATCAACTCCCAAAACAAAATGTCCGTCACAAATTTCCGTGCAATTAACATTTGCCTCTGCATTGACAGGAATGTAATATTTCTCATCCACATAGCTCCAGTTGCTAAGGAACTCCTCTAGAAGTTCTCGAACCCCTGGAAAACCTTTTGAAATCTGCAAACAGGCCCTGAAAGGAAACAGTACCAGTAAGCGAAGTTCATGTTGTATGTAAAGAGGTCATCTAACTTGCATTCAACACGATAACCAAAGATGCTCTTCTTAGAGACTAAAGGATGTATAGTGATAACACACCAACAACTGTTTAAAAGTGGACTGTACAGACCAAGCATAACATAGGTCTTATTCTGCAATAGAGTTAAGGCATGTATAGTGCATGAGATGACATTAAATACCTAAAAGACTATATCATCAAGTTGCATTCTGGGTGTGGCGGAAGTGGGTAGGGCAGTTACCACATCTGGAAAAAGCATTGTTTGTAGCATACACAAAATCAATACATGATATGTACAACTTCAATCAACATATTCCAGCTCAGGACTTGTCAAGTTTGTCCTATTTTACTTCTATCAAACTCGACACAGATCATGGCAACAAAAGACACAAGACTCTCTCTCTTTCCCTCTCTCGCCGCGCCCCCCCCCCCCCCTCTCTCTCTCTCACACATTGGAGCCACAATGGCATTTCGAAGTTAATAATGACTACGGATTGAAATGACTTGTGGCTAAAGCACTTTGACTTTATTTAAACCCAAAATACCTGAAACTTTAACAACATACTGATGTTGACACATGAATTCACAGAGCTCTTTCATGAATTTGGAAATTTGAACAAAATTCTAAATTTTGGCAAAATGCAATGAAAAAAAAAACTTTTTGCTTCTATAAAACAAATACAAACACACCATAACTAACGTTGTGATATAATTCATTGTTTTGGAAACTTAAGTACATTATTCAATCGGTTTTGGTCAATCTAAGTGAGCTATACTCATAACCATTACTTATATCGATGGCACCAAAGCGCCCAATTATTAAACCATGTCAAGTCGTCGGCAGTCAAGAGTATATACAAACTTCAAGGTACTTACTTAAAGCAATGTCAATATACTGTAATGCTTTTCTATAACTCTTTTGGACTGGGTATTCAACCTAAAGTCAATTTTGTACAAATGATAAGCAATTCACAAAAAACAAATCCTCAGCTTTATCCTTATTAGCCTTTTGCATCCTCTAGTTTCAAATTCACACGTTCTAATTCCTATAACATTTGCTAACAATTTCCTCATAACGTTAAAGACCAAGGCATAGACTGCAGGTTTTCTTAAAAGCTCACAGTGCAAAGTGGATAATTTTGAAACAAAAGTACGCAAAGTTTCTGTAAGGGAAAGTTCAGGGTGGGTTATGTAAAATCCTTTTTTTAGCCCGGAGATATGCCCTTAAAGGTTAGGAGATGTTTTTGGAAGACATAATAATCAAACAAACTTAAAGACCCAAATCACATGTAACTCTTGGTTTAAGCCTGAAGGAACAAATGCAATAAACCCATCAACGTCACAGACAATCTACCTAAATCCTCTTAAGATCTTTGGGCTTCATTTATAACAATTGCTAAATGGAGCAGGCCAAATATGGATCTAACATAGTCATGTAAAACATTGAATCAAAACCACTGCATAATAGGCAAATAGCCTAATGGCTTGTCTGGGGTCATCACCAAAGACAAAGAGCTTAACATACAATAAGATGATCATAAATCAGTGTCATATCATGTATGTGTTCCTTAAACCACAATGGTAGAAAATTAAAGGTTGAGAAATGTAGCTACACTACCTTCAATAAGGACTTCAATTGGCCAATGTCAACTTAACAAATGCAAACACTCAAAATATTTAACCAATGATCTATTCTTTCTTTTGCACTTTTGCTCTCAACATAACCATGAAAACCATTCCACGAAAAGGCATTCGACATGTAGAATTTAAAACGCGATAATGCAAGAAGACACTAAATTACCCAATTTGGAGAACTTCAATGGGGATGGCAGCAACAGAACCGAACAATTCCGTTAGCTTATGCAGAATTTCTGCAGTCCTGCAAGAAATTACTACCAGTTACAGTACAATTTTAACTTTCCCCCTAAAACTAAAGCGAGCGTGAGACTTTGCATAATTAAGTCATCTTATCTATTGTGCACTCAATAAATTGTCCACTATGAAGCTTCCTTAAAGATCTTTTTTGCTAGTTGAAGTGCTCTGTAGGTCCAGAGCACCTTCGTCCAAAATCAAATTCAGAACTTGTTCCTAACCCCCTCACCTCCTCCCCTTTTCCCCCTTCCACCGGGCCATGTGCCTTGATGGTTCTTTCAAGGAGTTATAATCTAAAATAGGGGGACTAAAAATCTCAACAGAAGGATCAGTACTGGTAAGGATCTTGTTGATATTGTAAGGATTGTGTTAAAGGGTGGCAACTGATTAAGGAAACTTTATACTTTCCAATGCACTACATGTCCTCATGTTTTGCACGATCAGTGCTTTGTAATTGAAATATTTCAAATTAAGTATAGTTGAAGACCCACATTGTCCTTAAGATCTAGTGATGTATCGAAAAGCTTCACGGTTAAACACCCGAAACATCTTCTCATGAGCAGGTTGATGCACAGGTTTTTAAACTAAAGACTGAAAAAAAGCAAATATGCTTCCAAAGATTACAAGAAAGTTTTGTCAACGGCTTGAGATACGAAATCCCCATGATGTGAACTACACACAGGGAAGGCTGCAAAATGCATGTATCAATCAAACTAAGAGAACATGTAAAGCACAAGTACGCACTCATCAGATGGGAACTCATAGCTAATTAACGAAATCAAGAAGGAAAAAAAAATAAAAGCGGGACCTCCCCATTTCTTTCAAAGACTGCACGAACACCATCCCAGCTGATTCCATCATGTCATGCAGCAGCGAAAGACCATGTCCTGCTTCTCCAAGGAGATCGCTCTTGCTCCGACAGAGACGCTCCAGAACAGAGGAGGCCAACGAAGCCGCCTCCTCGTACAAAGAGCACACCAGGTAACTGCAAAATTCCAGAAAAGAGAAGAAAGAAACATGAGCAAAACAAAAATAAAAAAAATAAAAAAAATAAGAAAGAAAGAGGACAAGATGAGAAGAAATCGGTGGAACCCTTTGTTGGATGTTTGTTTGTAAAACAAACAAAACAATGCTTTTTCCTTTGTCCCACATAAGAAAGTTTTGGGTAAGTGGGCCATTTTATAACTGTGAGTGTCTTCTTACTCCTTAGAGTGAAGACAATGGGGTGTGTGCTAGTCCACACAATACCCGCGTGCGGGTGCGCGATTTTGGCGCGATTATTAGGCGCACTTAGCACGCTTGCGCGGCCGCAGTTTAATTAGCTCTAATCCCTTTATTTTTTATTTTATTTCGTAAGGTTATCTCCTTAATCTTTATTAGTTGAAAGGTTGTTTTTTGTTTATTAAATAATTTTCGAAATTATGAAAATTCGGAATTTTATTTATATTTTTTTATTTTTATTTTATTCCGAATTGTACATGTGTCTTTTCAAGACAACTTTTGGAGATTATACTTGTTCAGTTTTTAACCTTTTCCGAAGGGTTGCATTTGTTCAGTTTGCAACTTCTTCCGAAGGAATATCTTTGTTAGCTTTGTAACTTTTCGTGAAGAGTTGCCTATGAAGACCGATTTCTATATATGTCAGTTTTTGGCAAGAAGAAAAATCAATCAATTTTTCAAGTCTTCTTTCGAAAAACTACAGCCATCATTTTCAATTGTTTCCTAAAGAGATCCTGGAGAAATACTAGAATTGCTATCTAGTATTCTCATTTTGAGACTTTGTTGTATCCTGGAGGATTTTTGCCGGTGACCATTAGCAACAATTGTGGGGCAAATAAATCCTTAAGGAAAGTGATATCACGCCTCAAAGTCCGACTTGATTGCTCTTTGATTCGAAGCCATTCAAATTTTACAACAATCTTAAGGATTTATTTCGTTCAACAATGGAGTCGGAGACAATCAAAATCATGAACCAAGACATGGTCAAACTGGATCGGTTCGATGGGAACAACTATGCTCGCTGGAGGGACAAGATGATGTTCCTACTCACCGCCCGAAGATATCCTATATTCGGATCCAAAATTGGCGCCTATTGAAGATCCGAAGCCCTCGTTGAGGAGAACAACCAAGTGCGGAAGCCGTTGAAAGGGTTAACAAGGATAAGAGGAAACGTGAGGAGGATGAATTACTGTGTCGTGGACACATTCTGAATACACTGTCTGATAGATTGTATGACTTATTCACTGAGATGAAGTCGGCCAGAGAAATTTGGAACGCACTGGAATTCAAGTACAAAGCGGAGGAGCAAGGTACCAATAAGTATTTAATCGCAAAGTATTTTGATTTCAAGTTTATTGATACTAAGCCCTTGCTGGAACAAGTCCACGAATTACAAGTGCTCGTTAACAAAATTCGTGCCCTCAAAATTGAAATTCCAGAAACCTTTCAAGTTGGAGCAATTATTGCAAAATTGCCTTCAACTTGGAAAGACTACGGAAAAAGGCTGATGCATAAGTCGGAGGACTTCACCTTGGAGCAAATACAGAAACATCTTCGTATTGAGGAAGAGTCACGTACACGTGATAATTCTGTTTTGTATAATTCCAAGGTAAATGCTGTGGAGAGAAAAAGAAAATTCGGCCAGAACTTTAAAGTAAAGAATGGGCATACATTTAAGAAGACACACAAGAAGAAGAAGGGTTGTTGTTTTGTTTGTGGCAAACAGGGACATTATGCCAAGGACTGCATTCATCGCAAGAGCATATCAAAGGACAAGAACATTCCAACGGTGAAGGCAGATGCAAATTTGGTTGAAGAGAACTATGTGGCCATGATTTCAACCAAGTTTTCAAATATGAACATTGCTGAAATCAATGGTTCGATGGCTATGATTTCGAGATCAATTTCGCCACTTGTCCAATCCGGTTGGTGGTTAGATTCTGGAGCGACAGTTCATGTGTGCAAGGACAAATATTTGTTCAAGCAATTTGAAGAGACTGTCGACACAAATGCTCAAGAGGTCCTGATGGCGAATAATGCTCTTGCAAAGGTTGCTGGCAAAGGCACAGTGGAGATAGATTTCACTTCTGGAAAGAAGATAACTCTTCTTAATGTGTTGTTTGTACCTGAAATTAGGAAAAACCTAGTTTCTATTGATTTACTTTGTAAAAGGGGGTTTCGGGTTTTGTTTGAATCTGACAAGGTTATCCTGTCGAAGAATGGGCTATTTGTTGGAAAGGGCTATGCCAATGATGGCATGTATCAATTGAGTATCAATAATAATATCACTACTTCTATTTATATTGTTGAGTCTCTATCTTTATGGCATAGTAGGTTGGCACATATAAATATTCGTTATTTAAAGAATATGAAAAAGTTAGACTTGATAAATTTCAATGGTGACATCGATAAATGCGAAATATGTGCTAAGTCTAAATTAACTAAGAAACCATTTCCTAGTGTCAAAAGAAATTCGAATTTATTGGAATTGGTGCATAGTGATATATGTGAATTCAATGGCATGTTAACTCGAGGTGGTAAAAGGTATTTTATTACCTTTGTGGACGACTGCAGTAGATATTTATACGTTTATCTCATGAGGACGAAAGATGAAGCTTTTACCATGTTCAAGAAATATAAGGCTGAAGTAGAAAATCAATTGGAAAGGAAAATCAAAGTTCTACGTTCAGATAGAGGTGGAGAATATTTCTTGAATGAATTTTCTTCATTCTGTGAAGAACATGGTATCATTCATCAAGTTTTGGCACCATACACTCCACAACAAAATGGTTTGGCCGAAAGGAAAAATCGTTCCCTCGGAGAAATGGTTAATTGTATGCTTTCGAATTCAAAGCTACCAATTAATCTTTGGGGAGAAGCATTGCTTACTGCATGTCATTTTCATAATAGAATACCATCCAAGAGAAATGACATAAGTCCTTATGAAATATGGAAGGGTAGAAAACCAAACTTGTCATATTTTAAAGTGTGGGGGTGTTTGGCATACTACCGAGTACCGGACCCCAAGAGAACTAAACTTGGTCCTAGAGCTATCAAAAGTGTCTTTATTGGATATGCTGAAAACAGTAAAGCTTATAGGCTTCTTGACTTAGAATCCAATGTCATTGTAGAATCAAGAGATGTTGAATTCTTTGAGAACAAATGTTCTACAGGTTCTGAAATTATTGAAAATAATTCAAGACCTATAGAAACTCATGTAGATTCTCAAGAGAAAGGAACAAATGATTCTAGAGACATGACCGAATTGAGGAGAAGCTCTAGAGCAAGAAAATCTAAGGATTTAGGTCCAGATTATATTACTCACGTTTTCCTTGTTGAAGGAGATAGAGAAAATAACGTGGTAAATAAATACCCCATAGTATTAAATTTAGAAGACGATCCTAAATGTTTTAGTAATGCTATGTCTTCTAGAGATGCTTCTTTTTGGAAAGAAGCTGTAAATGATGAAATGGACTCGATTATGTCCAACAATACTTGGGTGTTAGTTGATTTACCGAAAGGATCCAAGCCTATTGGATGTAAATGGGTCTTTAGGAGGAAATACAATTCTGATGGTTCTATCCAAACTTTTAAGGCTAGATTGGTGGCCAAGGGGTATAGACAAAAGGAAGGAATAGATTATTTTGATACGTATGCTCCTGTTGCACGTATAACTTCTATTCGAATTCTTTTTGCTATAGCTTCCATTTATGATCTTTGTGTTCATCAAATGGATGTCAAAACTGCTTTCTTGAATGGAGACTTAAATGAGGAAATTTACATGGAACAACCAGAGGGTTTCGTTCTTCCTGGAAATGAAAGTAAAGTATGTAAATTGACTAAGTCTCTTTACGGACTTAAGCAAGCTCCTAAGCAGTGGCATGAAAAATTTGATTCAGTCATATTATCTAATGGTTTCATTCACAATAGTGCTGATAAGTGTATATACTCTAAATTCACTAAAGACTATGGTGTCTTAGTGTGCTTATATGTTGATGATACGCTTATCTTTGGAACAAATATGACTGGAATTATTGAGACTAAGAAGTATCTAACTTCCATGTTTAAAATGAAAGACTTGGGTGAAGTAGATACTATCTTAGGTATTAAAGTTAAAAAATATGGTGGGGGTTATTCTTTGAGCCAATGCGATTACATTGAAAAAATGTTAAATAAATTTCAACATCTTGGTTTCAAGGACATAAGTACTCCATTTGATTCCAGTATTAAATTAAATTATAATACTGGTAGGGCAGTAGCACAACTTGAATATGCGAGTACTATAGGGTCTTTAATGTATGCGATGCATTGTACTAGACCTGATGTTGCTTATTCTGTGTGCAAGTTGAGTAGGTACACTAGTAATCCAAATATGGAACATTGGAAAGCTATTACTAGAATTTTTGGTTATCTTAAGAGAACTAAAAATTTAGGCTTGTTCTATAATAATTATCCAGCTGTATTAGAAGGATACACCGATGCTAGTTGGATTACAAGTGTGGGTGATAAATATTCCACTTCAGGATGGGTTTCACTCTAGGTGGAGGTGCTGTTTCTTGGGCGAGCAAGAAACAGACATGTATAACTCACTCAACTATGGAGTCAGAATTTGTTGCTTTAGCGGCAATTGGGAAAGAGGCTGAGTGGATTAGGAATTTGTTGTTGGATATCAAATTATGGCCTAGTCCTATGCCTCCTATTTCTATCCATTGTGATAGTCAGGCTACTTTGGCAAGAGCTTATAGTAGTACCTATAATGGGAAGTCTAGACATATTAGCCTAAGGCATGAGTTTGTGAGACAATTGATTAAAGATGGTACCATAACAATTGTCTACGTGAGGTCAAGTAATAATTTGGCTGATCCTTTGACAAAGGCATTACCAAGAGATATGGTAAAAATGACCTCACAAGAAATGGGGCTAAAACCCTTTAATTAAAATCACCAGTAATGGTAACCCAACCTTTTTCTAGAACATCACTAGTTAGAAGGTTTAATGGGTAAGAACAAGTTACTGAATGTGATTGTTTGATACTGACTCTAGCCCTAATATGAGAAGTTAGTATCGTCTGTTACGTTTTAGAGGAAGAATTGAATTCTTAATGAAGTATAGTACAAACTTGTAATGTGTTAATAGTAACAGAAACACATGATAGATACTTCACCTATATGAGCTTAGGAGTGGTGCCGCTTCTTACGAAAGTTTGGGTTACTTTCTAGAGAGCTTATGAAATAGGATCAAGCACAAGGCCATAATAGTGCGGAGTAATATAGAAGTTCTCGCTGAAACAAGAGGTTAGTATATGTGCGGTATGTCCGATTCTATTATTTAAAAGTACAAGTTTAAAGCCGAGCTACTTGTCACTTTGATAGAGTTTTGAGATACTTGCACTAAGTAAAGGTTTAACTCGAAAGAGACCTTTATGCATGTATATTAATCTCACCGAAATCTTGGCTGTATGGTTTTTAAAATTTTTAAATTTTTTTAAAATCTTTGTTTTACAAACAAAGTGGGGGATTGTTGGATGTTTGTTTGTAAAACAAACAAAACAATGCTTTTTCCTTTGTCCCACATAGGAAAGTTTTGGGTAAGTGGGCCATTTTATAACTGTGAGTGTCTTCTTACTCCTTAGAGTGAAGACAATGGGGTGTGTGCTAGTCCACACAATACTCGCGTGCGGGTGCGTGATTTTGGCGCGATTATTAGGCGCACTTAGTACTTTGCACGCTTGCGCGGCCGCGGTTTAATTAGCTCTAATCCCTTTATTTTTTATTTTATTTCGTAAGGTTATCTCCTTAATCTTTATTAGTTGAAAGGTTGTTTTTTGTTTATTAAATAATTTTCGAAATTATGAAAATTCGGAATTTTATTTATATTTTTTTATTTTTATTTTATTCCGAATTGTACATGTGTCTTTTCAAGACAACTTTTGGAGATTATACTTGTTCAGTTTTTAACCTTTTCCGAAGGGTTGCATTTGTTCAGTTTGCAACTTCTTCCGAAGGAATATCTTTGTTAGCTTTGCAACTTTTCGTGAAGAGTTGCCTATGAAGACCGATTTCTATATATGTCAGTTTTTGGCAAGAAGAAAAATCAATCAATTTTTCAAGTCTTCTTTCGAAAAACTACAGCCATCATTTTCAATTGTTTCCTAGAGAGATCCTGGAGAAATACTAGAATTGCTATCTAGTATTCTCATTTTGAGACTTTGTTGTATCCTGGAGGATTTTTGCCGGTGACCATTAGCAACAATTGTGGGGCAAATAAATCCTTAAGGAAAGTGATATCACGCCTCAAAGTCCGACTTGATTGCTCTTTGATTCGAAGCCATTCAAATTTTACAACACCCTTTACCTCTCGCAGATGTCGATGTCTCCCCAGATAGAAGTTTCCGACGAAGTCCCCGTCCTCCCCACTGCCGCCATGTCCCAATGTTATCTTCTCGAGGCAACCAATGATGCCTGGCCGGAAAAGCGGTTAAGGTGAGGTCACCGAGAAATTGGGCGAGGGAGGGAGGGAGCGAGCGGGGAGGTATGGAGAGAGACGGAACGTGGCGGTGAGATCTCTCTCGGTGGTTGGGAGGCTGCGAGCTGTGGCCGATCAAGCGTGGGCTCCTGTCGAGACTGATGTAGCTAGCAAGGATCACCTAGAGGGGGTGAATAGGTAAATAATTTTTGTCAAATTATGCGGAAATGAATAATCACAACTTAGTCTGAATAAACTTCAGATTCAAGACAGATTATATAGACGGTGCTCTTGATATGCAGTATGTAAATTAAGAGATAAGGGATAGAAAAACTGCACATAAGTTTATAGTGGTTCGGCTTATAGTAAGCCTACGTCCACTCTCTCACGCTGACAGCCTACCGGCTGGATTTCACTATGTAATCAAGAGGAATTTATAGATTCTGAGTAACAGCACTCTTGTGTATGATAGGACTCTCTATCTCACACAATCACTCTTACAAAGTAACCCTCTAGATCTTAATTTTTGGCTCTGAATGACAAGAGAAATGATTGGAGTATGCTCAGACTTTGGACTTGTTGATTCTTGAATCTGTGCTACCTTCTGCTGCTAGTTGATCTCCTTAAATACTCCTCTACTTCCAAACTAGCCGTTGGACAGCTTTCGGAGGATCATCTTCCAATCTTCATCTTGGACAGATTTGTATAATAAGGATTGAGTAGCCGTTGGATGACAGATTCTAAATCCCGCTGATTCTGGTCGCCCATACAATCAGAATCTTGGTTTCCATAAGTAGAACTTTATCCGTTGTAATGCATACTTGTCGTAATATTTGGTTGTCAATCAATTATAGCCTTAGATTGAAACAATCAAAACTTTCCTTCTGTGAAATCCATACCAGATCACTAGTTGTTATGTTTCATTATGAATTCTGTCTCTGAAGAATTTCTGCGTCTGCGTCTGCTTCTGAAAAATTTCAGCTTTTGGGTCTGCTTCTGAAAAATTTCTTCGTCTGAATCTCAGAACTAAGATTACGTGGGTCTTCAATAAGGTATTTACCAACTTGTAAAGTTTGAAAAACTTTCTTCTGAGCTTCCTGAATATACATTCCTGGAATAAATTAGATCAGAATAAGTATTAGATTTACAATAACATGGAAGGTTTTGTCAACTTCAAAATCAATAGGAGTTTTTCTCAACAATCTCCCCCTTTTTTATGGTGACAAAACTTTTCTGCAGATTGAATTGATTTGAAAGTAAATAAACATATTAAGCTCATGAAGCACAGATTTAAAGAGCAAACTCTATTCATATCTGTGTCTTTTTCTTCCTTTGTATATAACCTGCATATGATCTGCATATAATTTCTCCCCCTTTTTGTCAACAGCAAATAATAGAGAGAATAAATCATTGATATTAAGCAATCAAACAGTCTAACAAGCATTGTTAGAAATATTACAGACCAAAAAAATTTTGGGAAAAAATTGAAAAACAGGCTATCTTTTGGAAGGGGTTCGAATTAGTTGAAAATTTTCCAGAATGGAAACAGCTTCCCCAATCTTCAAATTGCATTCTCCCACAACTTTGTCCATGTTGGTTGAACACAGAGCAATAGCCTCTTCAAGTTCTGCTTTATCTTTAGCTGCCTAAAGATGTTGAGTTTTGTTGTTTTCCTCAACAATTTTGTGTAGATTCTTCATATCTTGTTCAAGTGCAGCTTGCTTGTCCTTGATCTCAAGCAGAAGAGAGAGAATGGTCTCATTATCTGAAGGCTGTTCCTTGATATTTTCTTGTTCAAACTGATTGAACCCTATTGCTGTTGCTGCTTCTGGAATCTCCCCCTGAACAGGTGCTTGATCTTTAGAAATATTTTCTCTAAGAATTGGTTTGGAACCCTTTGGAGTTGGTTCAGAAACATGTTCTGGACCATCAGTATGGCCTGTACCAAGGTGCTCTGCTTCTGCTTCATCACTTTCATCATGCAGAAGAATTTTTCGTTTCTTTCTGTACACCTTTAGTGGGGTTGAAGAGTCAGTCTGCTTGCTTGCTGATCCTGCCCCTTTTCTCTGCCCTGTCTTTTTGACACTAGTCTTTTCAATAGATTTTGCTTCAGAAAATTGAGCATCCTTTCCTTTTACTCTTTCCCTTAAATCATCAAATTGCTTCATTTTTTAAAGCATTCTTTCTCCAACATACATACAAGGTATAAGGGTTTTGCTCATCTCATCAGGAATGGATATCTTGAGGAACATAAAAATTCGTGAGATAAGAGCACCATATGGAAGTTATCCCTTGTCCTTCTGTAACGTTCTATACATATGGAAAATGATGATATGGGGAAGAGAAAAAGATTGACCTTTCAGGATTGCCCAGATAAGCTTAATTTCTGACTTGGATAAGTCAGTCTTGGATGCTGCTTTGGGCTTCAGACAGTTGATAATGATCTTGTGTAAAATCACGGATCTTTTGGACAGATCAGAATATGAAAGATGCCTTTTAGAGTCCTGAGCAAAGTTTACATTCTCTGAGGCCACCCTGGAAGCATCTTCGAGGCTCACTTCCAGTGGAGTAAATTTGGAATGTTTTGCTCCAATTATTAATGCCAATTCCGTCGCTTTCAAGTCAAACTTTTTGTCACCAAGAGTGAATTGAATCCAGTTGGGTGACAAAATAGAAAGATTAGAGTAAAAGTATGCAGTCAGTTCAGCATAGACATTTGCAGATTGCAAACAAAACTCATAAATGCCCAATTTCGCAAACAAATGCTTCACTGAAATACCAGCATTTTCAAGATAATCAAAATCTACGATCCGATGATTCATGATCCCTCTAGCAAGCAGCAACTTATAGAAGGTATTGTGCTCATTGCTTCTAAATAAGCCTCTAGTTCCTGGCATACCAGATGCAATCCCAACTTTTATTTGAAAACTATCAAAGAATTTACCATCATCATCAGGAATAACAAACTTGGTTGCACTGGTTGTTTTAGGGCTGATTTGAGCAAATTTCTTGTCAGATGGCGTTGATGATTCTCCAACATTTTCTTTGCCCTTTTTGGAAGAGGGCTCTTTTGGTGTAAAGCTGGCCGGAACATTTTCAGTGTTAGGACAAACCTTAGAGTAGTTTTCCGTAAGATGCTCTTCAAAGAAGAACCCATTGTCTCTTAGACAGTCACGCAAAGTCGATGTAGAGACATTGCTTCTCTTCAACCTCTGATAAGCATTCCATACAAGCTTGATGCTCTTAAATCGAAAATTTATTTTACCAGAAGTTTTGGGTGGCGACGATCGAGAAGGTGTTGTTGCTTCAGAAGGGTCTTCATGATGGTCTGACTCTGTGTCTAAAATTTCCATATACTCCGCCGGTGCTGTAGAGTTGGAGTCTTGGTTGAGAATACGTGAAGATCTTCTCTTGAAAGGCATTTTGATCACTTTGGAGCGGAAAGATTTGATCTTGGAGAAGGAGGAAGAGTAGACGACTCTGAGTATCGAGAGGTTTTGGAGAGAAAAGGTTCGTACGATAGAGTTTTGAAAAAGAGAAAGACAGGTTTATAACGAGGAGAACAGGTTTTGGAAGGAAAAGATTACTTTTAGAAAATAAAAAGAGATCCCAAACAAGTATTAAGGAAATATACTTTTTGAAGCACAAACAATCATGATAACAATATATTAAGCACAAATTATCAAATAAATTAGAATACATACCTGATTTGCTTCCTAAAGTAACGATTATGAAAATATCCTGCTAAAAATTGCCAAAAATATACCCGCCAAAATTTGAATAAAGGACGTACCGTTCTTTGTGAGTCTGAAAAATGTTCAGACTGAGAACATTTGAGTCTGAAAAATTTCTGTCTATCAAACACTTCAAGAAAATGGATAAGTGATGCACAGTTTGTTTCTTATGAACTCAAATGAAGATTTATCAAGAGGTTTTGTAAATATATTAGCTAATTAATTCTTAGAATCAATGAATTGAATATTCACATCACCATTTTGAACATAATCTCGAATAAAATGATGCTTGATTTCAATATGCTTAGCTCGAGAATGAAGAATGAGGTTCTTTGTCAGATTGATTGCACTTGTGTTGTCACATTTGATTGCAATACTTGATTCTTCAATAGCAAAGTCTTGTAACTATTGCTTCATCCACAGAATCTGTGCACAGCAACTTCCCAAAGCTACATATTCTGCTTCTGCTGTGCAAAGTGCAACTGTATTTTGTTTCTTTGAGTACCATGATACCAACATATTTCCAAGCAGTTGACATGTACCTGTAGTACTTTTTCTGTCCACTTTACATCCAGCTAAATCAGCATCAGAATAACCAGTAAGAGTAAAATCTGAATCTTTGGAGTACCAAAGACCTAACATTGGATAAGTTCCAATGTATTTGATTATTCTCTTAACTGCAGAAAGATGTGATTCCGTTGGATCTGATTGAAATCTTGCACACATACAGACACTAAAAAGTATGTCAGGTCTAGATGCAGTAAGATACAATAATGAACCTATCATGCTCCTATATACCTTCTGATCAACCTTTTTACCATTTTCATCTTTGTCTAGCTTAGATGATTGAGACATGGGAATGTCTGTCTTCTTGCAATTTTGCAATCCAAACTTCTTGACAATCTCCTTGGCATATTTCTCTTGGCAAATGAATGTACCATCTTTTGTTTGTTTTACTTATAGGCCAAGAAAGAATGTTAATTCTCCCATCATACTCATCTCGAACTCGTTCTGCATATTCTTAGAGAATTCCTTGCAAAGAAATTCGTTAAAGGATCCAAAGATAATATCATCAATATAAATTTGAACAAGAAGAAAATCCTTACCCTTTCTCTTAACAAATAAAGTTATATCAACCTTACCTTTGGTGAAATCATTTTGCAGAAGGAAATTACTTAACCTTTCATACCAAGCTCTGGGTACTTGTTTCAGATCGTAAATGGCCTTTTTGAGTCTGTAGACATAGTCAGTCTTTCTTGGTTCTTCGAAACTAGGTGGTTGTTCCACATATACTTCTTCTTTATATATCCATTTAGGAAGGCACTTTTCACGTCCATCTGAAACAATTTAAAGTTACGGAAATAAGCATAAGC